CAGCACAATTAGACAATCCTAGAAGGGCTATGACATGCAAGAAGGGGAGGGGGCTGTGCTAAGTAAGTGATTCTCCTGGAGTTCAGAGGCACATTGCAAGTGAATAAAACAATTATGGAAAAGTAAATATTTTAAATGTTGTTCTGTGCTTTTACCTACAATTTTTGTTTACAGGGTCTTTTAAAAAAGTGAGGAACCCAATCTGGTCTAAACTTCCTTTTTTTTTAATTTATGGGAATTTAGAGTAGTTGTAAAGGCTCAGCTTTTTTTCTTAAAAGTAATAAACATGTTATACTTACCTGCTCTGTGCAATGGTTTGCACAGAGTGGCACTGAACCTCCTCTCCTGGAGTCCTCACATTGCTCCTCCTCTTCTGTGTCCACCCTCATAGCAAATTAATCCTTATATTATCTACTTTTAGAGAGCGAAAACCTCACCTTTGACACCTTCAAATTGGCCAATGAATATGAAGAACATCATCACCAGGAGACTGCAAAGTGTAGAAAGGGACAGAGCAATGTTTGATCACAGTAGCTGGTTAAGTTTTGCTTAATAAGAGCACAATGGGTATCATGGATTTCTTGGTGCTATACAAGTAGGTAAACACACAGAAGGATGCCTATAGGAAGGCAAAGGAGCTTTCATAGAAAAAGCATTTATAACAAATAGACCCTAAATCCTGTTATATCAGGATAGAAAGGGACTTCTTTTTTTTTTACCAGCAAAACACTATCCCCCAATGCACATATTTAGACAGTGGGTTTGCAAAGATTAACTCAAAGGCAGCTTGTTTGCAAAGGGAAACTATATTAGTTGTTTTAGGTCAAATTTGTTGAAGTTTTGAACTGTTGGACTTTTACTCTCTATATCCAATCTTGGTTTTACAAAAAGTAATGAAATTCCCATAGCACTAGGGTTAGCTAAAGAAACAGCTTTGCAGCTTCCTTTATCTGACTGAAACCTCCTACTGAGCTCTCTGATGAGAGGAGTCACTGCTGTGACTGATGAATCACTCAAGTTCTGTAAACAAAGGGCTTCTGTCAGCACAGCTGACAGTTGGAATAGCTGATTGTTTGAAAAGGAGACAAGGGCTCCACCTACTGGCCAGACAGGAGACAGCATACCTCTTTACAGTTAAGGCTGTTGCTGCAGATGAGCAGATTGGCAAGTTTCCAAGCGTGACACTGCCAGAGATCAGCAGCAGGGCGACAAATGTACAGCATTTCACTTTAATCATAAACAGAGCTCCGTACAGTATAGAGGAGTGAAAAGGGGGGTCTGATTGTCTTGGCCCTCACAATAGCCAATCAGATCCCTTGCTTTAGTGGGAGAAACTTGTTAACAGATAGGTTCACCTTTTAGAAAAAAAAATAATAAATGAACATTTTTTGCAGGTAATAAAGATGTGCATTTATTATTTTTGCCTGTAGGAGCCTAAAAAAAACATTGCACCAGTGATCAGCAGATTGCTGGTGCCATGCAGGTCTTCTGCAGATCTGTCAGTATAGCTGCTAGCTTGTACTCCTTCTGTTTCACCATGCTGCTCAGCAGATGACTACATAATCAGTTGTGAGTAATAGTGCACGTCTGACAGCACTTATGAACAGAGACAGCTTGCGGGCTGGAATCTCCTCCTCTAACAACATCTGCAGTCCTGCCATGTTCCAACTTGGTTTCTTCCTTATACACTCAAAAACAGACAACTGAGTCCAGGCCAGCTTGCCAGCTATCCTGGGGAGAGACTAGAATACTAGCTGTGAGCTGCGTTATTGTGAATGATGGTGCACGCTGTAGACGAGCAGCTTCATTCACATCAACACAAGCCAACATAAATTGGGTTTCAGCCTGGGGTGGAGCTGACAGCACATACGAACATATGCAAGGATGTCTTTAATGGCACAATGCAGCCACAGACCAGGGCAGGACACAGTGCTCATGTACTTGGACCCCTGGAGGATTAAACCATGATTTTACCATACTGGTGATATGTCTTCCTTTAGGCTGAACTCCAGGCAAATTTCTACATACATATGACAATTGTTTTACCTGCCACAGCATTAGATTTGTGCTCAGATAGTGTTTGTGCTAGGGACACCTGTGTCAGACAACAAAGCCAGGACAGTGACTTGATTTTTCCTCTACTATAATTAAGTCAGCATGGTCACAACCTGCCCCCATCCTATGATTGGACAATAAAGTATAAACAGTACATTGAGGAGTATAGTTCTTTGCTTTTTCCTCCCATGAGTATGTTCCAGATGTGCAAAGCAAAAAAGGCCAGATTGGTGCTGTTTGGTGGATTTCGCAAGGCTGAACTAAATTTTTTCTAAAGTAACAACAGTGCTGGAGTTAGGGCACATAGCGGTATATATATGCCCCCCTAGTCAAATGACATATTAGCCTTTAGAAGTTGACAGTTTATGGGGGGGGGGGGGGGGGGTTAAATCCTGTAACAGACTCAGGCTGTATGAGCAGATTCAGCTTCTGGCTAAGATTCAAGAGTCCCAACAGAGATAAAGATTGATTTGAAGACAAACATAGGTACTTGTTAGCACCAAAAGTGTAAAACACTTTAAGGCAAGTAGAGTAGAATGTACATATTACTTATCTGTATTCAGGATTTAAATACCTTATTTAATGTATAGTTTGTACAGCAGTCATATTTATTCAATACAAATGAAGGATTTGCCCCCTCTTGTTAGTGTTGCACAATGTCTGTGCCTCTCAATATATGTCTTGCCAGTCAAGTCTAATGGATTAAAAACAATAGATTATGTAGTTGAGAGTTTCTCTCAGCAGCTGTTGAGAAGGCAGGCTAAGAAAATGTAGTAATATACAGATCACCAATAGGGTCAACAAATCTATATATTCAATACAATAACATATGAAGCATGTAAAAATGTGAAGCATATTTGAAAAAGGTAAACGTTGCAATGGTAATTAAAATATGTGCTTACTGATAAAATATTTCCCTTTAAAAATGACCTTCTACATGCCCTCCCAAAGCAAAACTCCTATACAAAGACTTTGCAGTCATATAAAATATCACCGTTGTAGTGAATTATTTTCAAGCAATCTAATCTGTGAGAATATGAGTACGACATGATACATGATCACACAAATTAAAATTCAAAGTGAATAGATGAACTTTGTTCATTTAAAGGCACATTCCACTAAGTGGCAATGATCTCATAACTCACTACATTTCTGGTGGATTTATATGATTAGATCTGCTGTCCAATGCACACATCATCTGCCTATTGAAGGCAACCTATCACCTCCTTGTTGAAGAAAAAAAAAAAAAAGACATTTTTGGAAACTGGTGCCTGTATCCCTCGCCTTTGGTGACACAACTAAAAAGGAGTACAGTTTTGTTCTCAACAACTAATGAAAATACTTTCTTGTGCCCTAGGACGACAGCTTTAACCTGACTGGCTGCCAAAATAAACTTTGATGCAAACTAATTTTAATCAAAAGTTGCTGTATTAGGATGCCTAATGCTGGCCATGTTGATTTTTGATGTGGTTGACCATTTGTTCCAATTGTTTGTTTTGATCAGGTGTCAAAATCAACCATTTGACACAACACAAACAATATATTACCCTGCATCATTCTTATCCCCAAGTGTTAAAAGCTTAGTGGAAAAATAAATCAAAAGTGATAATTTTAGAAAAAAAAAAAGCGCTCCATATGATTGGCTTGAAAAAAAAAAAAAAAATCAGATTTGTCTAAACATCTGTTCTCTTAGCTTTGAACTGGCAAAATTAGTAAAGAGAGATTAAAAACATAATGCAAAATTATTATCAGTTACTAGGTTTGATTAGAATTTTTAAATATTAACAGACATTGTTACTTTAACAATTCAAGGAAAGTGACAGTGTCTGTGTAAAGGGGACCCCCCAAGCTACTGCTGCTTACCTCACCAGTAAACCCCTCCACTTCCTCCTCCTTTGCAGGAAGCACCAGTGGTGGATAACAGATGCTGAGTGAAGCGATGATGTCACTTCTGTCACGTGACAGTGTTAGGGCCTAGTGATTAGTTGCTAGACCCAAGAAGTCACATGGGAGGGGACCGCATGCGCAGGGTAGTTTCACAGGCCGAGGCATTGAAAAGAGTCCTGGCAAGGCAGGATCAGTTGTCGAATGGCCTCTTCCCACAGTCACTATTACCTGACTGGGCAAAGTGACAGGGTCTCTTTAAACATTTGAATCAATAGACTTATGGCTAGGGCTTACTAAGTAAACAGATTACATATTTAGCTTCAAATTGACTTTAGAACAGTGTTGTAACTAATCAGACTTCCTGAAATGAAATCAGATAAATCCTGATTGTCTGTTATGGGTTTGTTGCTCTGTTAAACAACCAGCATGCTGGTTATCTTTATGTGGTGTTCACACAATATATATTTTAGTGCAAGTAAACAATCTTTGTACCTGTCATATCTGGGTAAACAAACTGAATCAGACCTTAGGCAGGCCATGGACGGGCCATTAATCGGCCGATAAATGAAAAATCGGTCAGACCCGTTGCTGATGCTGCCACCCATGTGGTGATTTTCCAGCATGACTGATAAAAATAAATGAGGAGATCTGCGAAAAACGGCCAACGGGCTGGCCCCACTAACGGTGTGATTATCGGCCAATTATTCATGCGGAAGAAAATTAGGCCGATAAACAACCCGTCTATGGCTTGCATAAGTGTAGCTTTCCTTAGATGTGCTGGCATTTTCTATAAATGAACATTAAAATCAAAACTGATTTTTTTTAGATCTGCATGATTGTTTTCATTTTCAGAATTAAATGTTGTTCGTGAAACTTGAATTGATCTTTCCAATACTTCCATGGTTGTGTGGGTCATCCAGAGTAGAAGAGTCATGGCATTTAGTCCACACAGGTACTGGTGGTTCCAGCAAGGAGAGCCCAAGCTTGCACATATATGGTTAATGGACCATAAAATCCATTCAGAGTCTCTTGCTCAGGGTAAAGCCTGCCTCATCCGGTTACAACTTGGATTTAGGAGAGTGATGGATCAGCTGCCGTATATCCAACAGAGCCTTCTCCAAATAGTGAGCCATCCTGGCTGCATTGGTGTCTGCACAGCTGTTAAATGCAGACACTGCAAAGTTGATATGATCTTCCATTGGGTTGTAGCAAACGCCATATCCATCCGGTACCACCGGGCCAAAGCACATGACACAGTCAGTCTTAGCGGGCACCTACATGCAAGATCAAAAATGATTTATATGGCTTATTAGGAAATACACATAAAATACAAGAGATGCTTCAGATGTTTTATACCTGGCTGGTAGAGAGATTAAAATGCATCGCAATGGCATACGATGTGTCCATGAAGATTTCAGGAATGCTAACCAAATCTTCAATAGCTTGAAGTTTCAGTCCCAGTAAATGGCGGTCTATGGCTTTACCTGTGATGGCCTGTAAAGAGAAGAAGAGAAAAGAGCTCAAAACTAATTTAAAGGGTTAGTTCATCTTTTCAGCAAAAATTAACTAACACTCTATACTCTCCCCATCCCCAGTCCCCATGAAACTTACCTCTCTGGGTGAAAAGCTGTCAGTCCTCGTGCAGAGTGTAGCATTCTGGGGATTTAAAAACTCCGCTCTTCTCCCTTAATCTTTCTGCAGAGATGTTGGGACAGATCAAAGCGATTCTGATTAGTCAGCAATGGCACAAAGATTCTCTCTGGCCTGTCCCAGAAGCCCAGCAGAAAGAAGGGGAGAAGAGCTGAGATTTTAAATCCTTGAAATGCTACATTGGCGACATAGGGACTAACAGCTGATTACCTTTGGAGGGGGGAAGGTGTAGGGTGTGTGTTCACTGTTTGTTTTTTGTGAATTACACTTTTTGTATCATGCAGGTTGGCACTGTTGCCTTGTACCACTGCGATCCTGATCCCATCAGGGACACTGCCTGGACTTAGGCTGGGCATTGCTTGAATTTTGCCAAATTCCTTCCTGCTAAAGTGATCAGAATTCCACCCAGCCTCAGATATACAGTGTTTTCCCATGTTTAAATGCCCATATGCTAATGTGCTGTGTGTAAACCTTTCAGAGAGATTACAGTAATCTCCATGACAATGCCTTCTTTTGCTTTTTTCCTCCAGAAGGACAGAGCCATCTATGTTCAGATCAGCCTATGTAAATCGGCCGATAATCACGCCGTTAGTGGGGCCAGCCCATCGGCCGTTTTTCGCAGATCTCCTCATTTATTTTTATCGGTCATGCTGGAAAATCACCACATGGGTGCAGCATCGATGGCAGCATCGGGTCCGACCGATTTTTCATTTATCGGCTGATCTACAAGTTCAGGGTCAGCAATAATAAGAAAAGAGCTTTTATTAAATATAAAAAGGAAGGAACGCTATCATAATTTAAACAATAAAAAGATCATAACAGAATATGTAAAAAGGAAATCAAGGTCACAAACATTGAAAACGAACCACAGATTGCAAAAGATAGCAGGACAAACCCCCAAAAATTCTTCAAATATATTCATAGTAAAAAAGGTCAGGTCTGAGCATGTAGGCCCTTTACAAAAAAAATCTAGAGTGGGTGACTGGGGACAAAGAGAAGGCAAATATATTAAATGGTCTTTTATCCTGCTGTATACCTGGCTGTGGGGGTCTCTATACAGAAATCGCTTTATACGAAAGAAAGATCGTTTTTATGAAAGATCGTTTTGCTTCAATAAAATGCGGGTTAATATCTGCTAAAATGTGAGTGGTCTGGAAAAATTCTTTTAAGATTGGAAATCATTACAGTATCACACTATGGTCTTTTCTTCTTCCTGATTTTCTCTGGGGGATTCGGTGAGAAGAGTAACCAGAGGAGGTGTCCATATCCTAGAGGAGGCAATATTTGGAGGTCATATACAAAGTAAAGGGGGTCCAGGAGCCCTTAATATCCCTGAAAGGCGTTTGACTCACCATTATCTGGTGAGTGCGGTTAATGTTGGTTTTTGCACTGGTGGATGGTGGAGGTATCACTGGCACGGAAGAATCCAATGAAAATATTATATAAAAAAAAATTTTTTCACAGGGCTGTTTTTTTGGATTTTGTCACTGGACTTATTATATTTTTTTATAAATTTTTTTAATATATTAATTTATATTTTTGTGTCACAGTGTATTTTAAGTTTGTGATATTTAGTAATTATTATTTATGGGTTGGGTGATGCAATTTATTGTTTTGTGGGTTTTGCGCTGGTATAAGTTGATATAAATATATTAAATCCCTTCTTCAGCTCTGTGTATACAAAGGAGCATGGGGGAGCTCTTGTCCATAATGGGCATGGTATTGACACAGCTCCAGATGATCCACTTTGGCTCACAATTGATATGATCCAAAAATATTTAGACAGAATAAAGGTGAATAAAGCACCTGGACCGAATGGCATACATGAGCTCTGTCATTTCAAAGCCATTGTTTCAAATTTTTAGGGACTCTTTAATGACTGGCATAGTACTACTGGATTAGTGGAAGGCCAATGTGCTGCCAATATTTAAAAAGGGATCAAAATCTTTACTAAGTAATTCTAGACCTGTTAGTTTAACTTCTATAGTTGGCAAGATACTGGCAAGTTTCATAAAAGACCACATAGAAGATGAGTTCTTGCTGGAAAAAAAAATATTTAAACAAACAGCACGATTCATGGAAGACAGAAGCTGTTAAACAAATCTGATTTCTTTTTATGAGGAGGTGAGCAAAACCTTGGACAGAGAGGTGGCGGTGGACGTGGTATACATGGATTTTGCAAAAGCGTTTGACACAGTTCCCTATACACGGCTTATGTGTAAGGTAAAGTCTACGGGCTTGGAAAAATCTGTATGGAAATGGATAGAAAACTGGCTAAAAGATCGTATTCAAAGATATAAAAAAAAAGAATTGGTACTGTACTTAAAAAGTCAAAAATTATATTAGTGAATGTGTCCTTTTTAAAATGACACTATAATTACGATTTTGGTACAAAGCACTGCAGAACAAAACAAAAAATTATTTTAGCACAGAATACTAACACACACAGACACACACACCATAGAATATGCAAAGTTGCATCAAAGTCACACCGCATAATTGCACTGTAAATCGCATCGAAGTCGCAATGCAGTAGTGTGAACCAAACCTTACTGACATATGCAGGTCAAAGTTTATGCATTTGATCTGCAGATGAATGAAAAAGAGTAAATATAATAGTAACATTGATACTTTGTACCTCTGTTCTGAAAATTGTTGAGAGATATTGGTCAGTTTGCTTCTACAGCTGCTCTATTTACACAGCAACTTCTAGCTATCGTTCTGACAGCCAGCAATTGACAGCTAGAAGGGTAGAAAGGCAGGACATATTACACATGTCCTGTACTTGGTAAAGTTTTTTTTTTTTTTTGCTGTCTGTGTGCTATTGGGGAGATTTTCCCACAACAGAATGTGTGGAAATCTACCCAAAGCAAGGGGAATTCCATGCATAGAAAGATTTCCCCTCAACTCCTGTTGCAGTGACAACCATTTTGGATTTCCTATCACTTTCGGTCCAGGTGGGAACTGTAAAGTTTTAAGTTTTCTTATCCTTTTACCCATTGTCACAATGACAGAAAGTAATAAGGTTGGATCACCCCTGGAGGATACAGGTTTAAACAAAACAAAATAAAAACCACACACACTACACACGTGCTCCTACCCCTCACCACTCTATCCCAAAAAAAAAAATCAATTTTTTTTTTTTCTATATAGATACACTTTACACTTGTACTGAAAGGAATATATAGGCTGCCATTGCTGAAGTTTACATCCTGCATCCTAAACACATCATTGGATAAAACAAACAAATGAAACCAGCGCTCAAATCCTCATGCAGACCAAAGAGAATTCTGATTGCCAAACGAGGAGGTGCTGCCCTTCAAAGATTGGGAAATCTGGACACTGGTGAACAAAAGCAGACAAAGGCGCACTCTCAACGTGCACTACTGTGGTTGACCACGTATTTATTGTGTAGACAAATAAATATATACTCACAAACCAAAGGAAATTAAAAGCAATTTGGTAGTCCGCAAACACAGTCAATAATGCTGTGCCCTTGATAAGGATGATCTGACGCGTTTCAGGAGACGTACCCCCTTCCTCAGAGCTAAAAAAAAGTTGTTGTTTTTTAGCTCTGAGGAAGGGGGTACGTCTCCCGAAAACGCGTCAGCTCATCCCTATCAAGGGCACAGCATTATTGACTGTCTTTGCGGACTACCAAATTGCTTTTAATCTCTTTTGGTTTATGAGTATATATTTATTTGTCTACAAAATAAATACGTGGTCAACCACGGTAATGCACGATGAGAGTGCACCCTTGTCTGCTTTTGTACATCATTGGATAAACTTGTCTTAAGCAGGCCATAGATGGATCGAAATTCATTCAGTTCAGCAGAGACCAGCCAAATTTTGATCCATGTGGTTGTACAGAGAGCAATCTCTCAATCAAATTCTGTACAGCCAGCATGTTGGAAAATTTTTTGCTTGATCAGTGCTGCTGACTATAGCTGGCAGTGCTGATGAGTGTATTCTGATGACAAGAAAGCCTCCATGCTGCCAGAAGGGATTCTCCTACCTGCCTCGAATGTCTGGATGGGGGAATCATTTAATTTTCTGTCATTCAATCCACTCCAAAATGAAAATGAATTATGTGGCCTACATTAACTTCCATGCCAATCAAACTGGTAGTTTTAGTGCTGTCACTGCTGACCTCCTTTTGAAAATGCTAAATCGCCTATTTCTCTTTACTTTACTACACTCTACGTCATGAACCTGGGACAAGTAAGCAACCAGTGAAGGCAGAATAAAGTTAGAATTCCTGATTTGTATGCTTGTTCCAGGCAAGTGACTCCGAAAACATGAACAACGTGACAGCCTGGAAACTAGCATATTAGATGGCTACTAGCAATCATAGCCTATGCATTTGTCTCAGTAGACCAGGCATGTCCAAAGTCCGGCCCGCGGGCCATTTACGGCCCGGGGGTCGGTTTAATACGGCCCTCCAACAGCCCTCCCTGCTCTGTGTAATGTGGCCCTCCCTTCTATGGCAGACAGTCTTCTGCTTGAGAGCAGAGGGCAGTGCGCATGCCTGACTGCGGCGCGTTCTCCCTGGTCTGTGTAAATGCGGCTGTCGCACGGCCCTCCCTTCTGTGGCAGACAGTCTTCTTCTTGAGAGCAGTGCGCATGCGTGACTGCGCCGCGCTGGGAGTGACAGAGGGCGGTGACGTCAGGGCCGGGCTTCCAGCGTGAAGTGTGTTTCTCTTCCCCTCCCGGCTGCCGAGCAGAGACTTCAGCTCCAGCTACCTTTTTCACCCTTCACATTAGTGCAGGTAAGTTTTTTTTTTAAATTTATTTTCAATACATTGTGAAAACTCAGCTGTCAGTTGATCTTAATGTTATGAAATCAAAAGTATGTCGTTTGCAATTAACTTGGCATAAAATAATTTATTTGCATTTAATTGTAATGGTTCAAAGAATGTTCGGAAAAAATGTTCGGTCCTCCACCATGTTCACTTCATCCAATCTGGCCCTCTTTGAAAAAAGTTTGGACACCCCTGCAGTAGACTTTAATATCATCCTACATGACTCTACAGAACTGTGATGTCACTTTGTATGTGATAATTACACTTTAATCATACCATGTCTGTGTAGACTCGATGAGCTTGCACTGCTTTTCTCAGCAGATCCACTTTTTCTTGGTTCTAAGGATTGAGAAAGAAAACAAAACCCACACTGAATAACTACTCACAAGCCTCCAATAAAAACTACCGTATTTTCCGGCGTATAAGACGACTTTTCAACCCCTGAAAATCTTCTGAAAAGTCGGGGGTCGTCTTATACGCCGGTGTCAGGGCGGCACTTTTTCGAGGGGCGGTGCTGCGCCGCCCCCCCCCCTCCTCCTCCAACGGACACAAAGTACAGGGGTGGACAGAGGGGCTGCTGTACCTTACCTGGCTCCGGTCCGACGACGATCCGGTCCAGGAAGCGCGGCTGCTCCTTCTTTCAGTTCGGCCCCGCTCGATGGTCACGCGGCTCGCTCCGCCTCCTCACCGGTGATTGGGCGCCAGCATTGGAAAGGCACACAGGCGACCAATCACCGGCAAGGAGCGGAGCCGGGCGGCCCCGCGAAAATCGAGCGGCCGCACTGGAAGAAGGAGCAGCCGCTCCTCTCCCCCACTGACACTAACGATGGGGCACTATTCCTCCTCCCCCACTGACACCAACGATGAGGCACTGTTCTCCCCACTGATACCAATGATGGGGCACTATTCCTCCTCCCCACTGACACCAATGATGGGGCACTATTCTTCCCCCACTGACACCAACAATGGGGCACTATTCTTCCCCCACTGATACCAATGATGGGGCACTATTCCTCCCACTGATACCAACGATGGGGCACTATTCCTCCCACTGACTAATGATGGGGCACTATTCCTCACACACTGACACTAATGATGGGGCACCATCATTGGTGTCAGTGGGAAGAATAGTGTCCCATCATTGGTATCAGTGGGAGGAATAGTGCCCCATCATTGGTGTCAGTGGGAGGAATAGTGCCCCATCATTGGTGTCAGTGGATGAAATAGTGCCCCATCATTGGTGTCAGTGGATGAAATAGTGCCCCATCATTGGTGTCAGTGGGAGGAGTAGTGCCTCATCATTGGTGTCAGTGGGAGGAATAGCACCCCATCATTGGAATACCATACTGAAATACCATACCATATTGAAATTAAATCTGATGTTTTTTTCATTTTTATTTGGTGTGCGTTGGAAGAGGGGTAGTCTTATACGGCGAGTATAGCTCAAACCCTATATTTTAACAGGAAAAGTAGGGGGTCGTCTTATACGCCCAGTCGTCTTATACGCCCAGTCGTCTTATACGCCGGAAAATACGGTAATTAAATTACAGGTTTTTTCTATTACTGTAACACCAATTTATTTATTTTTTTTAAAAGGGAACACCAAAAATATTAATCATAGATTTAAGTTAAGCACTGAATGTACAGCACGTCATACGTTAGAACTATGACAATGACACCCATTGGATAAGAAGCTATACAGTAGTAAAAAACTATCTGCAATGTTAGACTGCTTATTTGACAATTAAAGAGCAGTAACATATTAAACTCTGGTCATTCCTGTTCTATTCTCTACTTTAAACATGTTCTCTATTAAGCTGACAAGTACTGTAATAAACCCAAAACCAAAAATGTAACATATTGCAGCTTACCAATCAGTAGATGTGGTGGCTGCATTAGTTTTTCTTTTTTTTTTTGTTTAGGCTTTTTTCCCCATTTTCACCTGGTGACATAAATGGCCCCATTGTGGATGGAGGTCTAACAGAGAAACATTTGGACAACAACATGTAATCTGGGGGGGTGGGGTGGAGTGTTAAATGAGCTAGCAGATTTAGAACAAATTGAAGTCAGACTCCAGCTAATACTTTATACTTCTTTTTTTTTTTTCTTTTGGGAGAAATATTTTACATAAATAAAAACACTGTAAGCACCCCATGTCGGTGGTAAGTGGATTGTCTCATCCCTCTGACTGCTACATCTGCAGGACAGTTGGTTCTGTTCAAAAGCAACAGACTTACTGGCAGGATCATGAGATGAAAATAAATGGAAAAAGCCTAAAAAAGAAAACTAATACACCCATCACATCTAAGAATTGGTAAGCTGCAATATAATAAATGTTTGATTTTGGGTTAATACCACTTTAAAGCCGGGTCTTGATTGGTTAAGAGTGCTGGTACTCTCTCCCTGCCCGAGTACTGCTATGCAGGGGAGTATAGGAGGCTCATAAAGACTGATCCAGGTACATCAATTTTAATTATACACAGCTGAATGAAGTCACATTTTTAAAATTTGCCTGGAGTTCCACTTTATGGATGTATGATGTCACCTGTTTCTCAGAATCCTCCATGCCTTGGACAAATTCTAGAGACTGAATCGAAGCAGATCGAATAGTATCTGTCCTCCCCAAGCGGAACATCCGAAGTGATGCACTCTCATAGGTGGCACAGGCCCTCCCGTACATCCTTAAAGATAAAGTATAGTGCATTCTCAGTGAGATTATAGTGCATTCCTATTTTCGCACTGTTAACTTTACTGTAAATACATTTTTTATGACTTTCACATTTCTACAGGCTTGTTCTTCAGTGGTTTGTTAAGACTGGTACTTACAATGAGAAAATAGGATGGAAAAAAATGCTTTCATGGCGATTGTCCAATAATCTGATCGTTCATACACAGCATTTGAGAGCTGATCACGACCAAAGAGACAAGCACCAAACTTTTTTTCGTATGATAACAGAACAAACGATTTTCATGTAATTAGTATAGTATTTGTAAAAAAAAAAAATAAAAAAACTGAGTGGCCAAGATCGCGCATGCTCAGAAACAAAAGTATACATTACAATACAATAAATACATTACATCACTTCTAAAGTTGTATTCGGTCTTAAGAGAATTTTCATGTTTGTAATCTTAGTGATTACACTAAGTTTAATAGTGGAGTTTGCATGTTCTCTCTGTGCCTGTGTGGGTTTCCTCCGGGTAGTCCGGTTTCCTCCCACACTCCAAAGACATGCTGGTAGGTTAATTGGATCCTGTCTAAATTATTATTTATTATTATTATACAGTATTTATAAAGTGCCAATAGTTCACTCAGCGCTGTACATTACAAAGGGGGACAGAACATGTGACAGAACAATACCAATACAATGCAAAACATGAGGGGATTGAGGGCCCTGCTCTTTCGAGCTTACAATCTAGAAGGGATGGGATAGTGGTACAGGAGGAGATAGCTGTAGGGGATGGAGTGGTAGGAAGAGTGGAGGAGGTCAGCAAGTTAGCAGGGGGTGAGGTAGGCTTCCCTGAAGAGATGGGTTTTCAGGGTGCGCCTAAAGGAGAGGAGAGTAGGTGATAATCTGATGGGTTGGGGAAGGGAGTTCCAGAGGATGGGTGACACCCTGGAGAAGTCCTGGAGGCGGGCATGGGAGGAGGAGACCAGGGAACTAGAGAGAAGGAGGTCTTGTGAGGAGCGGAGTGTGCGTGCTGGGCGGGTACTTGGATATTAGGTCAGTATGTAGTTCGGGGCAGTATGGTGGACAGCTTTGTACGTCAGTGTTAGGATTTTAAATTTGATCCGTTGCGCAATCGGAAGCCAGTGGAGGGATTGGCAGAGGGGGGTGGGGCGGAAATGGAGCGGTTGGAAAGATGAATGAGTCTGGCAGCCGTATTCAGGATGGACTGAAGCGGGGATAGCCAGCGGCAAGGCAGGCCAGTGAGGAGGGAGTTGCAGTAGTCGAGTCGTGATATGATGAGGGAGTGGATGAGCTGTTTAGTGGTTTCTGGGGTTAGGAACGTGCGGATTTTGGCGATGTTGCGGAGGTGGCGTCTGCACGAGTTTGTTAAAGATTGGACTTGGGCTGGAAGGATAGGTTGGGGTCCAGAATGACACCAAGTACTCTGGCCTGCAGAGCGGGTTTGATATTGGCGTTGTTGGATGTGATGTAGAAGTCAATGGGGGGTGGGGTTCGGGCTGGGGGGAAGACAAGGAGCTCGGTTTTGGAGAGATTCAGTTTAAGGAAGTGGAGCGAACATCCAATCTGATATGTCGCTCAGTAGGTGTGTGATTTGGGCAGAGACCGAGGGGGTGAGGTGGGGGGTTGAGAGATAGATTTGTGTGTCGTCGGCATAGAGGTGGTAGTTGAAGCCGTGAGAGTGTATGAGTTGGCCAAGGGAGGAGGTGTAGATGGAGAAGAGAAGGGGCCCGAGGACAGAGCCTTGAGGGACCCCAACAGAGAGGGGGAGTGAGGGGGGTGGTAGCATTATAGGTAACGCTGAAAGAGCGTTGTGACAGGTAGGATGAGAGCCAGGAGAGAGCAGAATCTCTGAGGCCGAGGGAGTGAGTATTAGTATTTTGAGGAGGAGGGGGTGGTCCACTGTGTCGAAGGCCGCAGAGAGGTCAAGGAGTAGGAGCACTGAATAGTGGCCATTAGCTTTGGCGGTTAGTAGGTCGTTGGAGACTTTGAGTAAGCCGGTTTCGGTGGAGTGTAGGGGGCGGAAGCCAGACTGTAGGGGATCGAGGAGGTTGTTGTTGTTGAGGTGAGAGCATAGGCGGGGCGTAGACGAGGCGCTCGAGGAGTTTAGATGGAAAGTGGGAGCAGGGAGATGGGTCTGAGGTTGTTCGGGTCATTGGGGTCCAGGGAGGGCTTTTTAAGTATGGGGGTGATGTGTGCATGCTTCAGTGGGGAGGGGAAAGTGCCGGAGGAGAGGGAGAGATTAAAGATGTGGGTGAGGGAGCGTAGGATGGAGGGGAGAGGGAGGTCGTAGGAATTGTGAGGGGATAGGGTCGAGGGGGCAGGTGGTGAGGCGGGCATCAGAGAGGATCTTGGAGACTTCCTCGATGGTAGAAAGGTCAAAGGTGTGGAGTGTTGGGGGGAGCTTTAGTATGAGGAATGTAGGGTGGGGTGGGAGTGGAGGTCAGAGCAGTGGTGGGGGCCGTGGAGAGAGGGTGATGAGGGGGTAGCTGAATGAGGGGGAACGGGGTTGGAGGGAGTTTGAGCAGTGACGAAGTCCCTGCGGGTAATGTCGAGGGGGAGGGGGGGATAGGGGGTGTGCTGTGTGAGAGGGGACGGGTTGAGAGGGCGTGTGAGTTGCGGCAATGTCCTTGCGAATTCTGTCAATCTTGTTTTTGAAGTGATTGGCAATCTCAAGGGCGGTGAGTGAGGTGCTGGGTGGAGGTGGGGGTGGAGAGAGTAGAGAGAGTTGAAGGTGGAGAAGAGTAGGCGAGGATTGGAGGAGGAGAGGGCCTTGATGAGGGTCAGGAAGTAGGCTTGTTTGGCTGCGTGGAGGGAGGAGGTGTAGGTGCGGAAGGCAGATTTGTAGCAGGTGAAAGCTTGTTGGGATTTTGTTTTGCGCCATAGTCGCTCCAGGGCACAACTGCGTCGTTTGAGGGTTTTGGTGTGATCAGTCTGCCAGGGCTGGAGCTGGGTCGGAGTCTGATGTTGCGTGTGGTTAAAGGCGCTAGCGAGTCAAGGGCTGCTGACAGCGCGTTGTTGTAGGCAGTCATAGCCAAGTCGGGGCAGGACAGGGGGAGGATGCGGTCGTGGAGTTGATCAGCTGCAGAGTGGAGGGGGGCAGGGTTAAGGTTGCGGAGGTTACGGCTGGTAGTAGTGTGACATTTGGAGGGGTAGGCGTTGGAGGACGAGGAGATAGAGAAGGTGATCAGGTTGTGGTCAGAGAGAGGGAAGGGGGTGTTAGTGAGGTTGTGGGGAGCGCAGCGGTTGGAGAAGACAAGATCAAGGATATTACCGTCGGAGTGGGTGGTGGATTGTATGCACTGTGCAAGTGCAAAGGAGGAGGTTAAGTGGAGGAGACGGGCTGTGTCTGGCAGGGGTTGTCAAGGTTGACAGGGATGTTGAAATCCCCAAGAATGATGGTGGGTAGCTCAGAGGAGAGGAAAAGGGTAGCCAGGAGGAGAAGTCTTCCAGGAAGCGGGGTATGGATCCAGGAGGCCGGTATATCACAGCAATCTTCAGGGGGGGGGCTTGGGGAGAATAGTCGGACGCAGTGGGCCTCGAAGGAGGAGAAGGATAGGGAGGGGGGGTTTGGGAGGACTCGGAAGGTGCTCTGCGGTGACAGGAGCAGACCAACCCCACCACCTTTTACGACCGTTAGGTCTGGGTGAGTGGGTCCAGGCGAGACCTCCATAGGATAGTGCAGCAGGGGAGGTAGAGTCAGTGGGCTGGATCCAGGTTTCCGTGATCGCCCAGGAGGTTGAGGGATCGGGAAACAAAGAGGTCGTGGATGGCGGTAAGCTTGTTTGCACACCGATCGGGCGTTCAGGAGTGCACATGAAAAAACGGGGGGGAGATTTTAGGGAGCAGGGGGACAGATACTAAGTTGCGGGGGTTGCGGTAGGACATGGAGGCGGGAGGGTGTTGTGCGGGGGTGAGGGAGGTGGTGGAGGGCCAGGATTCGGGGAGATGTCTCCCGCGGCTAGGAGGAGGAGAAGGGTGAGAAAGGTGGCATGGGAGCGGGATGTGCAGGAGTGTGAGAAACTCCTACTGGAGGTGTTCGGGTCAGTGGGAGAGTGGAATAATAGGAGGAGGTGGTGGGTGCCATAGAGGGGCGAAGGAAGCAGTGAGGACACAATATACAAATGTTTAGGAGGAGCAGAGGGATATAGTGAATGGATTTTGGGAATGAAGGAGAGGAAAATGAGAAGGAGTAGAAGAGGCATTTTGGGGGGTGATGAGAGCAATAGTAGGGAGATGATAGCAATGAGGGGGAGATGTGCAAGTTTTGGGGTGGAGCAGAGGGGTAAAGAAAATGAGATTTGGGAACAGAGGATAGTAGTATGAAGAGGAGTGTATTATATAAAGGTACACAGAGTGGGACTCAGGCATGTAAGAGATGTTTCCCAGGATGTTTTTGCTTGCAGTCTGTCCAGCATGCAGTAGAGTTTCTTGCTGTTGTTGTGTCTTTCTGCTGCTTAAGTTCAAGTGCTGTGTTTAACTGCTTCGCACTCTTTCAAAGCCGCACTCCGTCAGAAGCAGCACCCCCATCAGAGACTGTGCCCCCCATCAGAGATCTCCCCCCATGAGCTGATCTGAATTTATAGGGAGATGCTCAAATGAGCATTCAACTCCACCCCAATTAGAAGCTGATAAGGCTCACATGAATAGTGGGGGATGTCTCATAGGAACCAGGCTACAGTCGTAAACTGGGTGCAACTGGAGGTGAGGACTGCTCAACATACACACAAATATAAATACACCATTTGTTCTGAATATAACAGGAGTGAAAGCGATTTTGAGTTAGGAGTGGAGGTAGGAGAGATGCATTTACCCAGGAGGAAAACAGCAGGAGTCAATGCGTTTGAGTTAAATTGGCCCTAGTATGTGTATGTACGAATGTAGGTTAGGGACTTTAGATTGTACGCCCCTTGAGGGTTAGGGACTGATGTGAATGTACAATATATATGTAAAGCGCTGCGTAAAATTTATGGCGTTATAGAAGTACCTGAAATAAATACATTTTTAAAAATAACATACACTGATAAGATGATTTCATCGAGATGATCTCTTTTAAATGATTATATATAAAAATATGGTGGAGGTGGTCACTATTTCCCCTAGATGTTCAGAGGCCACACAATCACACAGTTCTCCAAACCAAGAGCATCACTCTAATTGTCTGGATGGATGAGCCTTAGTTCACATCAAAGGAGTTCTGCATTCCTATACAAATCTACAGGAATGCAAAACCTGCTTGAAGCAGGTCAGAAGGAGGTCAGAAGCACCTGTCAATGAATTCTGAATCATCTCAAAAGTGTCTCAACGTGATGCCATCCACACAAGCCCAAAGCTCATCAACAAAGGCCCTAAAAAAGATTCCCTCTCTGTCCTATTTATTTAGCTTGCCCATTTCCTTTATTAGAAAAAAAAAACCCATATATTTATAAACAGGTACTTCTATAGCACACATGAATGTAAACCAACGGTCTAATGCAAGTGCATGCACTATGGGACTTGCCTGCTCTGTGCAAAACCACTGCACAGAGCAGGGAAGTATAAACGTTTGTTATTTAAAAAAAAAAAAAAAGTTTACAATCACTTTTAATTGCAGAAATAATATAATGATGATAAATGTAAGATAGGGAAACTTTGTTAATCACATGTTCTATAGAGCAAATAGAATCAATGCCAAGCAGCAGCTGCAAAAGCAAGTTAAAACTGATTTCCTGGGAAAGTAAAAATTCTCCTTTGCAGTGGGGCTGTCCCTGCACTGCAAAAGTTAAATCCTCATTCATGCCTAGGGGACTGGGCAAAGCACTTTTACTAAAAACATAATCTCCACAGTTCAAGACCTGTCCCTGCAGTCTACATTCTGGCAGCCAGACGCCCTCTGATGCCATCAAGACCACTTCAGGGCCCATAGCCCTGCGATGGACATGAGAATGCAGACAAAGAGTCCATGGCCAGAGGGTATGGAAGCACTGTATACCGGGGAGCAGAGGATCAGGTAAGTAAACCTGCTTTTGCTGACTCTTAGACATAAACAAACATTTAACCCTTGCAATGTGAGTGCAGCAATTAGTCGTGAGCATTGCATCATGGGAGGATGCTACATGCTCCCGTATACCTGAAGCACCATGGATAAAAAAACATGGATAAAAAGCCTCTTGGAGAGCATTGGAGAGATGAGAATAAAGTATTCAGGAATTTTTTTAACTTTTTTAAAAGTAGTAAGGCCACACAGCTGCTTTTTACCCAAAACATTGGTGCTAGCCTGTGAAATCAGGTATAGTTAACATTGGGATGCAGAGATAGACAAGAAAACTACATATCTAAAGAGACGTCAGAGGTGTCTTTCAAATAACTACATGAAATGAGGAGAGCTTTTTCGTTCTGCCCCTCCCCCTCAAATTGCTTGTATTTTATAATCTAGATTTCAGAGAGCATTATAAAAAAAGAGTAAATGTATTTTCAGGACTGAATGATGCCGGTATTAGCAGTAAAACCTACCCTTTTCCCTTTCTTACCGATAATAAGCTAGCTGAAGAGCCACCTGGATGAAGGCATCTGGACTTAGCTTCTCTGACTTGGGGAAGTTTTTTTTCCAAATGCAGTAAAAACAAAGACCTTGACATCCAGATCGTGAACCATTCTACGGGTCAAAGAAAGAAAAAGAAACAGTGTAAGAATTATATTTAAAGTAAATATTTAATCATTACCATGGTCAGTTTGTACTTACATATTCAGGTTTTGCTTGGCTTTCTCAATGTCATTCTTAATTTCTGGAGTGATGTTAAAGCGCAGTTTCTTGGGCATCGGTAAAGGGATCATTGGTGACCTGACCAAATCTGACTTTTTCCTAACAAAAAATAAAATTAGGACATAACTACATTTCAGCATGATATTGGTCGACTAAGCACTCCCCCATAGGAATATATAAAGAAATTACTTTGGTGAAAGAGACTCTATTAGCACTCCACAACTAGCAGGCTCAAGATTATTAGAAAAAAAAGTGTGCACTAAACAATCACCATTGCAATCGCTTTGCTGTTTTACTGCATTATGGCCCGCAGCTAGGTTCAGTGGCATATGGTCAAACATGGTGTACAGAATGAGAATTCATATCATTTGGTCTCCGCTTCTGGTGGGAAACCTGAAGAAAAGGGGACGTTCTAATGTGAAGGGGGGCTCCTGGCATGATGAACGGAGGGCTTCTGCTGGGAAGGGGAGACACTTCTGATGTGAAAGGCAACTCTGATGTGAAAATGGACTCTGATACGATGGGGGAAGGGGCTTTTGATGTGAATCAGAGACTCTGATGTAAAGGGTAGATCAGACTTGGAAGTAAAAAGGGGGGGGACCGACACTGATGTGAAACTGGACTCTGATATGATGGGGGCCTTCTGATATGAAAGAAGGACTCTGGTTTGAAGGGGGAGGAGTTTCTAATGTGATAGAGGAGGCTTCTGATAGGAATTTTTTTCTTGGAGCATGTTTATTTATTTGTGAAACAGATTTTCTTTTCGGCCATAAAATTTTGAAAAATATACAATGTGGCCCTCGTATTGAAAAGTATGGAGGCCCCTGTCCTACAAGATAACCATGAAATTATATAGCAGCATTATGTTTTCAGTGGCAGGTAATTATGGGTAATAATGTAGAAGAAATAAATGCTTAATAGCTGTATCTTTCACTTGATGTTAATTCTCCTTGAAAACAGCTGTTGGGTCAAAAGCAGGCACTCTTTTGAAGAAGCCCAACTGACCTATAGGGGCAAATCCTCTTCAGCATTTTCTTTGCAGGTAATTTTAGATCTGAGCAATACAACAATTTTGAATTTACAAAATTCAAAACGAAAAACAAAGAAAAGAAAACAAACAACTTACGTGTACTCAACAACATGGTCAAGCAAGGCTACAATGGGAGGTCCTTCTGCAGGAGCATGTTCATACACTAGCCCACAAGAACCATCTTCTGCTACTATAAACTGTGGAAAATCAAAATGTAATACATATTAACTTTAATGCTGGCACATGCAGCTGCTTACTATTACCTCCTCTTCACTACCCCACCACCTGGAGTGACTAATCCTAATCCATCTGCCGGCTAGGCTATCTAACAGGATCGGAGACAGGTGAGTATAAACCTCGTACACATGATGAGAATAATCGGACGAATGATCCTTTTTTTTTTTAAGTGAAAGAGGTTACTAAAGTTGAGAAAATTCTTGTATGACAGAATAAAACAAACACTCGAAAGTGATGTAATGTATTGTATTTTCAGATGGAAACTGTACTGATTAAAACAAAAATCATACGATATCATATCATAGGAGAAATATTTTCATGTTTATCCCTTTGAATAATTTTAGTTGAATGCTGTGTACTAATGATCAGATTATCGTAGGATAGCATGGAAAGTGGTATTTTTTGTACGATTTTATGATTGTGTGTACTAGGCTTTAGAGGGGGGCTGGTGCCAGTCAGTCCTATAGGCTATGTGCAACTTAAGCAGCTATACATGAAAGTGTAACTTAACTTTTGTTTAAAAATAATGATATATATTTGCATCACAAGCAATTTTGTAATTTACTGTTAACAAATATAATTTTTCTAGTTCAAATCGATTAAAAAAAAAAACAAACAAAAAAAAACAAACAACAGAAACAACAATCTTCAATCAAATAAAAGAAAAAATTCAAGCTTACATGTACCCAGACCAATCACAACAACAGGGTTTTGTGCACTGTATGCCCCTCTCACATGAGCATGTCTATGCATTAAATTGAAGCGGTTTAGGTGCATTTTTACTGTGCCTCAGCCACCTGTCAAAAACTTGGAAATGGTTGCTGAAAGGCCCCATGCATGTTGTTGAGGTACTGTGCTTGGTGGTACAGCATAAAAGTAGGGCAAATCACTCTTGCTTGTCAATACACCCATAGATGTGAATAGGGCCATGCTTCAGTATGAAATCCTTCTTCAAAAAGGCATGTGGATGCTGACGTGCTAACCATGGGCCAGTTGCTGATGACAAATCAATCCACTGTGGATTGTGAGTGAACAGCTATGCCCAAGTGAAGGTGGCTTAAATGTACAGAATGCCCACAGAAATGTATTTTTTCTGCTGACTGGTTTTCCCAAAGAATGTGTCTTACTCGAGCACTGAGAAAATTCAAGTGACTATTTTAAAAGGGTTGGTCTACCCAAAGGTGATAGTTATAGGAGGAATCTGTTGGGCTTTGTCAGTGCCTGGCTTCTTTTAGATTTTGGATACTGTAACACCAATTCTCCCCTCATCCAAATAATGTGGCCACACACCAAAGACGTTCAACTCCAGCCAAGGTTTATTGCAATGACAGCACACTTACCACTGAAAAAGCTGCACACTCACAAAGCCACCCATGTGTGGCTTTGGCTGGGAGTGAGTGGTGTGATGTCATCGCAATAAAACTTCCCTGGAATGTCTTTGGTATGCGGCCAGTTATTTGGATGGTGGATTGCAGTGGAGACTCTAGGGCCTTGGCACTTGACTGACTGCATGGAATCAAGGAGGATACAGGCTGGCCTGTGAGCAGTGAAAGGGGTTGGAGGGCCTAGGTTCATCTAACAGTAAGATCTCCTTGTCATAATCCCTGACTCCTGACTGTTCCGGTCTCCAACACATAAAAGAAATACATACAAATATCCAAAAGGGAGAGTAAGATCTCCTCAAAATAAGAACAGCTTGTATTCAAACTCAAGAAGTCAAATGCAACAGTCTCAACAATAGAGTCTCTCAGATATATAAAAAATGTCAGATGATTTAACCCTCCAGCATCTACAAAACATTGAAATATCAGACTTTGGTGAACTGACCTTATAAAGTGACCCTGTCTTTTACAGACTCCTTCAACTAGGGCTGCACCATAACAATGCCTTTCTGATCCTTCTATATAAAATTGGAAACTCTATCAGGCAGGGTTTATCAAAAAACAATAGACTCTCAAGAGTCTAATGATGTGAAGCATTCAGAAAGTCTTTGTTATGTAGAGACAACGTCATCTGTGCCCAAATTTTAGGCCATGAGGGAGCTCTAAAGTGGAAGCATTCTTCAAGCCAACAAAAAGACAAACTTTATTTTACTTAAAAGAATTATGCAATTTGTTGATGTCAAAATATGTTCTTTGGATTCCCATGAAGTGTCATCAATAGTTTTCCTTACATACCTGCAGGGTTTTGTCAAACCATCTATTCCCACTGTTCAGACGGCTGCCTCCACCATGTAACATTTGGGCAGCCACCCGACTCTTATAGTGATCATCAGAGACGGTGGGCATTGGGGCATCTAGGCACACTGTGAAAATACTCTTCTGGATTGTACGCACAGACTCTTTGTTGGTCTTATCTAAGGAGAAAATATATGGTCATCAATGATGGGAATGTGCCAAGTTTAACAATCAGTAATCTTATAACACCCATTTGAAATCTCATGCAATTAATTCTCTTTAAACTCCTGCACCATTATATGCTATCATCTAACTTTTACATGGAAATTCCTTAAGATATCATCACTTTCTCTTAGTGAAAATCACTTTCGGACTACTAATCCAGTGCTCTGTGCAGGCACAGAAAAGTAAACCCACATCCCTCGTTATAAAGGTTCATACAAGACTTGTCGTGCAGATGAAGGGAGGAGTTACTCTATGTCTGGCTAGGTTTGTGCACTGGGAAGTGTGTGGTTCAGACTGTGGTCAGACTGATTCCTACTGGACTGGGAAGTGTGGTCAGACTCTGATTCCTACTGGACTGAGAAGCTATACATAGACACACTGCTTAACAGTAAAAGTGAAAGTAAAGCAGGGAATACACATTCAGTCTTTTTTCGTTCAACTTGCACGTTGAATCAAAAAACCGATAGATCCCTGCAGCAACAGAAAATACTCCTGTCCCATCAGAATACGAAGATCAGTGCTTGAAGCCACTGGCTGCCAGTGATGATCGCATGCTGGTTTTCCAACAGGGCCATTTCTTTTGAAAAGAAAAAAAAAAAAAAAAAAAAGCCAGTCAGACTAGTTTCTGTTGAACAGACAGCAGTACACAAAGATCAGAAGTCGTCCGGTTCCTGCTGAACAAGCCAGTGTTCTGAATATACCCCTGCTTAAGAGTATAAAATGGAGATTATGAGTGGAATGAATATCTGACCGAAAGTCTATCTACTTTTGTGACTTCAGCTAGAGTTTAAAAGGACTCCCAAAAAAAAAAAAAGGAAGATTTAGGGAGGTACAGTTGTGTTCAAAATAACAGCAGTGTGTTGAAAAAAAAGTGAATAAAGCTCAAAATCCTTCTAATAGCTTTTATTTCCATACACACAAATGCATTGGGAACACTACACATTCTATTCCGAATCAAAACATGAAGAAAAATAGATCAAATTTGTGTTGTTCCTCTAAAAAAAAAAAAAAGGAAGAAAAGGGAATATTAGACTTTTCAAAAAAAAAAAATAGCAGTGTTTGTATTCTTCTTTACAAACTCAAACATTCACTGTATAAACTGAAAAATGTTTGAAGATTTTGCTTTCCTTTGAATCACTTAATGAATATTTAGTTGTATAAGCACCTTTTTTGAGAACTGCTGTACATCTGTGTTGCATGGAGTCAACCAACTTCTGGCACCTGTGAACAGGTATTCCAGCCCAGGATGATTGGACTACATTCCACAGTTCTTCTCTATTTCTTGGTTTTGCCTCAGAAACTGCATTCTTGATGTCACCCCACAAGTTTTCTATTGGATTAAGATCCGGGGATTGGGCTGGCCACTCCATAACGTCAATCTTGTTGGTCTGGAACCAAGATGTTACACGTTTACTGGTGTGTTTGGGGTCGTTGTCTTGTTGGAACACCCATTTCAAGGGCATTTCCTCTTCAGCATAAGGCAGCATGACCTCTTCAAGTATTCTGATGTATTCAAACTGATCCATGATCCCTGGTATGCGATAAATAGGCCCAACACCGCAGTATGAGAAACATCCCCATATCATGATGCTTGCGCAACCATGCTTCACTGTCTTCACAGTGTACTGTGGCTTGAATTCAGTGTTTGGGGGTCGTCTGACAAACTGTCTCTGGCCACTAGACCCAAAAAGAACAATCTTACTTTCATCAGTCCACAAAATGTTGCGCAATTTTTTCTTTAGGCCAGTCAATGTGCTCTTTGGAAAATTGTAACCTCTTTAGCACATGTCTTTTTTTCAACAGTGGGACTTTGCGGGGGCTTCTTGCAGATAGCTTGGCTTCAGATAGGTGTCTTCTAATTGTAACAGTACTCACAGGGAACTTTACACCTTCTTTGATCTTCCTGGAGCTGATTGTTGGCCGAGTCCTTGCCATTTTGGCTATTCTTCTATCCATTCAAATGGTAGTTTTTCGCTTTCTTCCACGTCTTTCAGGTTTTGGTTGCCATTTTAAAGCATTTGCGATCATTTTAGCTGAGCAGCCTATCATTTTCTGCACTTCTTTATATGTTTTCCCCTCTCCAATCAACTTTTTAATCAAGGTACGCGTTCTTCTGAACAATGTCTGGAACAACCCATTTTCTTCAGAATTCCAGAGAGAAATGCACTGTAACCAGCATGTACAACATTTGCTGCCTTCCTTCCTTAAATAAGGGAAACAATTGCCACCTGTTTTTCAAAGAATGAATGACCTCACTAATAGAACTCCACACTGCTACTATTTTGAACATGCCCCTTTCAATTAGTGATTCAATTACACAGAATCAGCAGCATGCATGTCATGACTGTTGGGTCTGTTGAATTTCTATTACTCTACTACACCTGCTAGTAAATTATTTGCCATGTAGAAATATCATTTCTACCAAAAACAGGATTGATCGGGTTAGTGATGTCTGACTGCTATTATTTTGAACACAACTGTACATGCAGGAAAAAGTTAATCACACTCACTTTCCTGACCCTGATCCTTTATTCTGCAAATTTAATGATTGTGGCTATTGGGGATTCTCTAGGAGGAATCAGCCGAAATTCTAACAATGGGTGGCCGTGCCAGATGATTATAGGGAGCTGGGCTGAACATTGCAGATGGACAGTTCCTGCAGCTTATCAGCTGCAGATACTGTTCAGGCATTCTTACAGCTGGTGCTAATGGCTATCAGAATACAACAGTCCGGCAGAGAGGATTTGTCCATTAAAGCAGGTAGGGTGGACGGAGGAGTCCGTTAGATTTCTTTCATTCAGCTCACAGGCTGAGTGAAAGAACTCTACAGTATTAGTTTAGGCATCTTAGTACCAAAGACATTTTTGAGGGGTGGACTGAAGTTGCAGCCAAGATAGCTTGAGGCACAGAACTGAATGGAATGTACATAGTACATTCATCTCCTTCACCTGCCCCTAGTCATGAAGTCAAAGAACGTCAGGCCATACCGACAAAGAAAAACTAATAAGAGATTGGAACAGAGGAGCCTTAGCTAAACTTAGCGGGAAGCATCCTGTGGTGTCTGGTCTTAGGCAAGATTTACTATTTTTCAGCTTACCTTTGATGAGATTGTTGTAGGCCTTGGCCCAGCTGTTCCTGTGATTTGTGGTTAGGATTCCAATGGGCTCCTTATTAGTCTGGAGTGAGGTCCCCCAGATCATCTCCAGCTGAGTGAATATCTGATCTGCGGTGAGCGGCGTTCCATCACTGTGATATACATCTAGCTCAAAGAACTGTGAACGGATAAGAACACTCTTTCAGGAGTAGTAGTGTAAACAGTATACATTTTCCCTTCTCAAACTCACATTAGTGTTGGGTTTTGTGAACTAAACCATGCTTGGATACACAGATACTTATGAAGAGGCGTGCCAACAGTGGGATAGTACACAAAATGAGAATAAGATATAGAAGTAAGATAGAGAAATAAAAGGGAGAAACTAGGGGATCAAGAGAATAGAGTGAACAGAGGGATTAAAGCTGAACTCCTTGATAATCAAATATTGTCTAACTACAAAAGCATGTGCATTCTTCCCTGAATCTTGGTGTATTTTGTGTATTTCTTCAACATATGTACAGTAATCCAGTTGAGACCTTCCCTCTGTACAGGAGCTTCCTGTGATAAAGACTTGTCACTGCTGTCTCTCTTCTTGTGCAGGGTGACTGGTCTTGTGTTTGCCCCCTCCTGTAGTTTTCTGCAGGCAGCCTGTAGTGGGTGGGCCAGCTGGGTCCCTCCCATAGCTCTTCTCTTTGCACAGTCTATGTAAAGCACAGTGATGAGTTCACCACTACTTTACAAGGTAATAACTAGGTTTAAAAAAGGCATTTGAGCCCACACAATAGATTCACATACAGTACTTTGTGGCTATTGCGGAATATATTTAAAATATTTGTTTCTGGAGTTAAGCTCTAAAAGCAGCTGTTGACTGTAAGATTAGGTCTATTTTATTAGATTAACTAGGCTGGAGGGAAGCAGACTAGGAGCTTTAAAATTCTTAAACACCAACTTCTGAACTGTAAATAGCATAGCACCTCTGGGTTATGTGAAGTCAGCCAACAAGGTCACAAGTCTCACATAATCTGTATTGATACAGTCAGCAAGGTCTTTTTAAGTTTTACTGAAGTCTCTGTTGAGATTTGTACTCCAGTGAAGCCTGTGACACCACAGTGGCAACTCGAGTAACCCAGAACTGGTGTGCTATGTGACTACCTTTTTCTGGCTCCTAGGTACATTTTAGAGAACTTTACTGCCCCTAACTTGCCTCCCTACAGCCCATGTAGTCATTGTAAGTGGACGTAATTCTACAGTTTAGGTCTGCTTCATAGAGCACAAGAAAGCCAAGTGAGCAGAGAAGGAAGAGAGGTAAGCAGATAGAATGAGAAAAAAAGGACAAGATGAGGGAAAGCAGAGGATACAATGTAAAGAGAGATAAATAGTGGAGAGAAAGAGGAGTCAACAGAAAGCAAAGAGGACAGATAGAGAAAACAGAAGCAAACAGAAAGCATAAGGGAAGAGGGCAGACAGAAGTGGTCAAAAACCAGAAAAGACAGAAATTGAAAATGGGAGAAAGAAGAGGACAGAAAAAGGGGAATGTAAATCTAATGAGCACCAGAAATAAGGGAGGCATAGACATTAGGTTGCCTGACACTGCAAAATATAAAAGTGACAAAAACATTGAGAAAGTAAACGAGCAGTGAACAAAATGAAAAGAGAACCCAGAACAAGTTCTGTGGGTGAAAATACTTTTAACGATAGACGCTAAAGAAAAATGATCAGGTTTGAGCAAACTAAAAGTCCACCACTGTGCAAATGGTCACGATTTATAATAGGGATGTGCATCAAGGAATTTGAGAATGCAAAAAACATCAGATCTTGAAGGAAGAGTTGTAGCAAAAAACTATCATGCATCCCATTCCTGTCAGTATGAAAGGAGAATATATATGAGACTACAGTGGGTATTAGATCACCAAAAATAGACAAATGAATACTGCAAATTGGTCCCTTCCCACAATAGTCACCATTGTGATGTGCAGATGGTAAGGTCAGAATTTGGAGTACATGACAGAAATATTTTGGGATGAGGCTGAACAAAAGGCTTGCAGTATGAATCTGTGGGCAGCAAATCTGTTGAAACTATGTGATGCTATAGAGTCAGAAAAGACCAGAGATGTTAGTAACTAGTTGAATCCATGCCAAGCTATTCTGAATATGGAGACAGTTTAGTAAGCACCCATCACTGAAGAGACAGAGCCTCACCTGGAAATTATGGACCACTGTAATGTGAGTGGGGGGCTTCTTGGCTTGGCTATAGTTGACAACCGAATCTCTCTTTGGGCCCGGAATGCGACAGGAGGATAATATATGATAGTATTGATTCATACAGAGCGATTTTTCACCAAGATGTTCTACAGGCAAGGTCTCACTAATTGCAAGATAAAAATACAAATTAGACATAAGGACAGAGGATCTGAAAAGAATGCCTCAGGTTAATGTTTTGACTTACTTTTCTATCATAGACTTAAAGTCTAGAACGCCTTCAATCAGCTTAGCAGCAAATCTACAAAGACAAAAGAGCAGTATTAAAAATAGTACCTGAACCTAACAACAAAAATGTAATAATTGTCAGCTTACCAGACTTTATACAGTATGTAGTAGCTGCATTCAGGCCTTTTTCCTTTGTTTACAACTAGTGATCCTGTTTCTATGCAGGAACAGTGTTGTCACCCGATGACAGGAAGCGTTTTAGGATTACAGAACACAGGAGAACTGGGCAGGGCTTATAGCACATACTGTACATGCCTACCAATTCAAGAAGCATGGACTGGTCTGTACTGGGTTTAACCTACATACCAATGCCAGATGCTGGAACGCTTATTCCACTACCCAATGCCTGTATGAGGCTTCTGACCAGCACAGCAACTGTACAGAAGAGTGGGGAAATCTAATCCCACCTTCTCATCATGTGATGAAAACATGACACAGGGCTGTAAGGGAAGTCTGGGAATAAACTCTCTCAGTCTGCTTTGGGGGAGATTTACTAAAACTGGAGCACTCAGAGTATGGTGCAGCTGCGCATGGTAACCAATCAGGTGTAATCTGTAGAAGGGTTGGTTTGTCATCTGAAGAAATAACTTGTACAAAGAGGGTGGATTTGACACCTGAAGGGATAATTTGTGGAAGGGGGTCTGACAACTGCCATCTAAATGACATATCATATGTTACATAGTCCTCATCGCTGTATATATATATATATATATATATATCTATATATATCTATATATATCCATCTATCTATATTAGCATTCTGTACTAAAGGTTCCCCATTAGATCGGAGGACTTAAATAAAATGGCGGCTGGGGGTCCACCTTCCCCGGTTTTGATTGACAGATTAACTCCCTATAAATTGCAGCATAAGTCACCAATCATGTACCTTGAGGAAGTCACGTGTTAGCGTGACGTAACATGTAGGACGTGGTGATGTAATTTCGGGTGTGGATGCCATATTGGGACGCCATATTGGAACTCCAATACAAACCCATGCAAGTACACCCACAGCATGTGGTTAAGGCTTATATAAAAATCATTGCATGTGAGTGGGCATTTGATTGTTTTTTTTATTAAACCCATGCAATTATTACACTATGGGAGCATTTTCTTTTACATTCTTTCCGGCTGTACGTGTTTTGGCTGTTCCTATATTTACTGCTCTGGAGAGGGTTCCTGCTGTGCTGATATCCACCAGTGAGGGGGACTGACCCATCTTCTGACCTGATATCTGTGGAAGTGGATCCTAGTTCCTGGTTGATACGATAATATATGAGAAAGGCTTTTTGGTCCTGCAGGGTCACGCCATGGAGGTGAGGGGACATTTCGCCTAGTGCTGGATCTCATTGCATTGTGTATTCACCTTCATAATGCCAGCACTATCTAAGAACTACTAAACACCTTCACCGTTTAAGATGTATTAGACTTCACGTTTTCGCTGAAGTATATGTAGTTCATGGGAGTTGTTGTTATCAGGTCCTTTGTATGCTATTTAGGACCCATTGTGTTCATATTATTTATGTCACTTATACACTATTTATTTCACATACCCGATTTAGGGGTCACAGTCTTGTGATTTCACATGTATTCTATTCATCACATTTTCACTTGAATCCGTAAGTTTCAGAGGATTTCAGCAATAGAAGTATGTTGCAAAACTTTGCAGTTTTACTTTTCATCTACACAGTTTCTACTGTTTATTTATTTTATCACTTCCACTTATCTTTCATTATGTTCACTGTGAACACTTAAAATTTGGGAGCATTTCCTATAGCAACTAATCAGTTGCAGAATAGTATTTTTGTTGTAGTACTTGTATCACTGAGTTTTGATATCCTCAAAATGATCATATCATGGTTTTTTTTGGGGCACAATTCAAAAAGAATTAGTGTGTGTGTATGTATATATATATATATATATATATATATATATATATATTTATATATATATATTTTTTTTACATATTCTTATCTTTGGTTTTTTCATGTGTTTTGGTTTTGTGTATATTTATTTTACTAGTTTTTAGTATAATTTACACTGTGTGGGCTATAATCATAGCAGGAGTTTATTTGTCACCTAGATATAGCGTAGCATCAATATGTCAATTATATGGTAAGGTGCTAGCAGCTTTTTAGTTACACTTATTCGGGGACCCAGAGTGCGGGAGGACCATACAGATACATCCGTGAAATTTGCTTGCTACTAAAATATTCCACGGTCAACTGTTAGTGGTATTATATAAAAACATGGAAGCAACTGGGAACAACGGCAACTCAGCCATGAACTGGTAGGCCACGTAAAATGACACAGTGGGGTCAGCGCATGGTGTGCAGAAATTGCCAACTGTCTGCAGAGTCAATAGCTAAAAGACCTCCAAACTTCGTGTGGCCCTCAGATTAGCACAACAACAGTACGCAGAGAGCTTCATGGAATGGGGTTCCATGGCCGAGCAGCTGCATCCAAGCCCTACTTCACCAGGTGCAATGCAAAACGTCGGATGCAGTGGTGTAATGCATGTCACCAATGGACTCTAGAGCAGTGGAGACGTGTTCTATAAAGTGTCGAATCATGCTTCTCTGGCAATCCGATAAAAGTGTCTGGGTTTGGCAGTTGCCAGGAGAACGGTACAGGGTTGTTTTTCAGGGGTAGGCTTAGTTCCAGTGAAGTGAACTCTTAAGGCGTCAGCATACCAAGATGTTTTGGACAGTTTCCTGCTCCCAACATTGTGGGAACAGCTTGGGGATGGCCCCTTCCTGTTCCAACATGACTGCACACCAGTGCACAAAGCAAGTTCCATAAAGACATGGATGAGTGAGTTTGGGGTGCAGGAACGTGACTGGCCTGCATAGAGTCCTAACCTCAACCCAATAGAACACCATTGGAATGAATTGGAGCCAGGCCTTCTTGTCCGACATCAGTGCCTGACCTCACAAATGCATTTCTGGAAGAATGGTCAAACATTCCCATAGAAACACCCCTAAACCTTGTGGACGGCCTTCCCAGAAGAGTTGAAGTTGTTATAACTGCAAAGGGTGGGCCAACTCAATATGGAACTCTACGGACTAAGACTGGGATGCCATTAGTTCATGTGTGTGTAAAGGCAGGCGGCCCAATACTTTTGGCAATATATAGTGTATAAAATATTTTCTGTGACAATGACAACGGCTAACATATACAATGTATACCAAAGGTGAGTTCAGACTCAATTTACCCACACCCAGTAAGATACGGCCAATTTTCAGAGCAGGGAGCCAGGTACATGTGATACATGCCAGTATGATCAAATCACATTATTAATTTCAGTTAAAAGGTATCTCTTTCTTGTCATGAACACAAAAATCTCTACTTTTAAACTCCCTAAGGTAGAGCTGGTTTTGAACAAAATGGGGTTCTGGGAAAAATATGAGTTCTATACATTGGTTTCCTGCTGCAGCCATCATGTAACTTGATATAAAGATTACTGATCCCTGGGCAGGCATTAGACTGAGATCCAGTCAGGTAGATTTGCTTAGACTGAGATGTCATCAAAGACAGCTTTTTAAAGCATAAATAAACCCAAGAACAATTAAAAAATGCATTGAAATTCACCAGTCCTTCAATATGGTGGCTGCATTATTTTAAATTTTTCAGGCTAAGAACTTTTTTTTTTTCAAAAGTGCAGCAATGAGACTTTTGTTGCTCATTGTAACTTATTATAAATTATTTCATGCAGACTTGTAAAGGTACTAAAAAGGTCCACAGCATTTAGGACCCACTTACTGAAGCTTCTGATCATTAGGAAATTGGATTAGATCTCTTTTTCATCTACACTGTTTAAAATTTAAAGTGGACCTTCACCCAAAAGTGAAAGTGCTGCTTTTCCTCCTCCCCACAATAGTTTTGGATAATATACAGTATATATATATATATATATATATATATATATATATATATATATATATATATATATGGAGCAGGTACCGGCTCCCACTTCCTAATATCTTGCTTATACAAGAATTTTGTCACTCTCCCCTCCACAGACTCCTGGTACATGTTGCACATCCCAGGAGATTATAGGACCAGTCTACCTGTGCTACATGATCTCGTACATGCACAGTGGAGAATTGCCTGTAATTCCTCAGGAAGTCACAGATGACTTCCAAATTCAAGATGGTGGCGCTGGGACCCACAGCTGCGAGAAGAACCAGTTGTGGGAAAACAATGCTGGATTCCAAGAACTGGCAAGTACCTTATTTTTAAAAATTTAAGGCTTTTTATGTTTTATACTTTTTAAGGGTGAAGTTCCTCTTTAAAGCAGCAATAAACCCAAAAGAAAACATGTATTATATTACAGCTTACCATTTCTTAGATGTGATGTCTGCATTCGTTTTCTTTTTTAGGCTCTCTTTCCTTTATTTTTATCTGGGGATCTAGTTGTTTTAAACCAGAACAAGCACTCCAGCAAAAGTAGCAATGTGTTGAGACAAACCACTTACCACTGACAGGAGTGCTTACAATGACCAGCTTTTATTTATTCGTGTAAAAACTTTATCCCAAAAGAAAAACAAACTGTTGCTGTAACTGCTTGTGTAACTACAGTGTGAGCTGGAGTTTGGCTTCAATTTGTGTACCAAAATCTGGTAGTACATCTAACACTTCCCTCCCCTCAGACTGACAATGCTGCTGTCTAAAGAATCCCCTGAGCTTTCAGTCAGAGTGCAGGCACTTTAAATACAGGAGGTGTATAACTGGCCAGATCACAAGGTGAAAACAGAGGAAAAAAAAACCTATAAAAAGAAAACTAATGCAGCCACCACATCTAATGGTTGGTAAGTTGCAATATATTAAATTTTTGGTTTGAGGTTTAATACCCCTCTAAGATCACTTTCCAGAATTTTCCAGTCCTTCCAGTCAATGGCCCTTGGTGCCTAGTTCTGTTGTCACCACTTTAAAGTGAGCTAGATTGTTGTGCTGCTATATTGGACTCACTTGTGCTGTGCAGGTATGTAAAGAGGAGTATTGTAAATTTAATAGATTGCTGTAAAGGTAATAAGTTGATAAAATGAATGAATTAATTAATAAAATCTTGGGATTGTGAAACAATTCCATCCACTTATGATCTCTGTACATATAATATTTTAATTGAATACTATGCACATAGAAACATGCAATAGCTCTGTCTGTGTGCATAGCAATGGTCACCAGCAGTTATAACAGTGCCGTGTAATAGGGGGCGTGACATAGACAATCTCTCTTTGATAAATACTATTGGTCTGTATTTTGAGCTCAGCACAGTACGCAGCAATAAATAGTTCCCCGTAAGTGTGGGAAAGGTCAGTAGGAGTAAATGTCAGCTTTTATCCCTTTCAGAAATCAACCACCTTCTTTCACACGACAGGCGAAGGTCACAGTATTCTACAAATCACAGGTTAACGGTACTTTACCTGAGTTGCCCTTGTCTGTCCAAAAAGTCTTGTTTTGGTAGCACCACACCAGGGCTCGAATGAACTACAACTGGCAGACGGTACTCTAGGTAAGCTGTCTGCAACCACCAGTCTGACAGCTGAGGAGCATAAAAAATAAAAACACATAAAAGGGCCTCTTTAGAAAAACCACAACGGTTTTGAAAGAAATGATTAAAAGCAGAACTCCATGAAAAAAAACAAAACAAAAAAAACAAAACATTTTCTTCCATGCAGTGGGGCTGTGCTCCGCACTGCATGGGTTAACTGCTCGTTTTTGTCCAGGGGGGCACAATCAATCCTCCAGAAAACAGCACTCCCCCACAGTTTATGGTGCTGGAGCCCAGGTACTTGGGATCATTATATTGAGATGTGCCATAAGGCATTGCTTTTATTGCTGGTGACCCATATAAAAGTTGTCTGAAAGGATTTAATGACACTTTATTGCAGTTCTGTAAACAGTGAAGAATGCTTACATTGCTGATAGGTGTATTCTCAAGGGCACCTGGATCGAAATATGGAGCTACCACTGTCATGTGACAGGCTAAAGCGTCATCTTTATAATTTATCGATATATACCTGTAGTCTTTCTTAATACTGATCTACTTATTCAGGATTCACTGATCTTGTTTCATTATTGAAATAGTGTGAAATAGACAAAAGTATTTCATTTTTATATTCATTTGCTCATGTCACAGAAATACTAACATCGTTTAAAAAAAAAAAAAAAAAAAAAAAAAAGACTGTTTGCTTTAACCACTTCCAGTCCGGACACTTTTACCCCCTTCCTGACCAGGGCAATTTCCAGCTTTCAGCGCTATCACACTTTGAATGACAACACTGTACCCATATGAATATACCATTTTTTTAAGACAGATAAAACTTTATTTTGGTTGTATTTATTCACCGCTGGGATTTTTAAATTTTTTTTGCTATGTAAATAAAAATGTAAAAAATTTTGAAAAAAAAAAAAAAGTGTTTTTCTTATAAAATTTTGCAAATAAATAATATTTCATCATAAGTCTTGGCCAAAATTTGTTCCGTTATCTTTTTAGTAAAAAAAAAAAACAAAATAAGCCAAATTAGTTTATAACCAAAAATTATAATTTTTAAACTTTTTTTTTACATTTTTATTTTTTTTTTATATTATTTATTTTATTTTTTTTACATACTGTCACCCTAGCAGTACAGTGTCACCATGGTGACACTGTACTACTTTTGAGGGGTGATGAATATTTTTTTTTTTTTTTTTACACCGATTGCTTTTACACCCATATAGGATGTAAAAGCAATCATTTCTCTTTCTCTCTGTCTCCATTCTTGCAGCCATTGAGAACTACCGAGTGAGCTGTGATTGGTCACAGCTTGTCGCATGGTACAAGGCTGTTGTGAATAGCCTTGTACCATGTGACCTCTGTGATCATTCACAGATTTCACACGTAGTAAGCAATGATGTCACAAGTGACATCTTGCTTACTACTTTGCATGTGATCACTAATTGGCCAATCAGTGATCACATGATCGGGACCTCGTATAGAGGTCCCGTCCGACGATCGGTGTTTCACTGTGTTCGGAGGACACAGCGGGCACCGGATCGCTGTGCTGCCCGCTCCCGGGGAGCACGCAGAAGCAGGGTGCGGAGAGGCCGTTTATAAACGGCCAGCCGACCCTGCAGTGCCACTGTCCGGCTGTTTATATACAACGGCCGGTCGGGAAATGGTTAAATCAAGAAACTCTGGCTTTCATAGAACCTAATGTAAGGTGAGATATAAATGTCTTTACACAGTCATCAATATCATTTCAATTACTAGAATATCTGAATGGGCTTGCAAAATTTGTGTGTTAAGCCTATGTTGCATCTTTAGTAAAATGGAAAGTTCTACCTACCCAGTTTTCTGTCTTCCTTGCTCTCCTCTCTAGGCCCTTCTGCAGCCTTTCACCAACTCCTGAGCTCTGGAATTCTTCCACCATTTGGGTGGTGTGGCTCCATTCCTCCTGACTTACCAGAGGTTTCAAGGCCAACAGATATTTATCTAGAGTCTGCTGAAGTGCAGGGACGGGTAGGTGTGGCAATGACTCCTGATGTGCCAGGTACCTGCCTGGCAGTTTCACCAATGACACTGGCTTTACCAAGCGGACCGGCTTGGCCTATGGGAGTAAAAACAATGACATGTCACTAATAAATGTCAGAGGACCAAAAAAAGATAGGTTTTTTTGCAAATACATGTTTGCAGACCTTATCAGAATGGGGAAAAAAAAATTAGGATACATTGTGACTTTAGGTACACTGCCAGTTCAATTGGTAGACTGTCTAGAACATATGATTTGTACTCACAGGTCTTTTAGTCAAAGGGATATTCAATATTAAGGCAGACATTTTAATGACTGAGTCACTACAAAGAGAAAATCAGTGTCTGTGGCATCTCTATAACTCATGTCATAGCAAACCTATTGGCCGAAGCTACCTTGGACCACTGGCCTACAGCCAACAGGATTAATAGGCCTACAGTCAATAGGACGGAGATCACCGTAGCCTTTTGCTAATCAACAAAGAGACACTTAGCTCCTGACTGCTCTTTCGCAAGGGTGCCTAGTGTTTGACCTGGTAGCTCCTTAAGCATGTGTAATTCATGTCCAATATATGGGCTGCACAAAAAAAAACAAATGTGTTAGGAATTGGATAGGGAACACAGAAGCAAGCATTAAGGCATGTTATTCCACTAAACTCAACCAAAACACTGTTTTTTATAAAGTAGGAAAGGTTTTGAAACACGGTTAGGATTTGCTTGCATCTCGGTCCCCATAGCGGAATTGTCTCTTCTTGTGTGGTCAGCGGAATAGAATGTTAGAGTGAAATCTTGCCAATGAAGACACAAATATGAATAAAACAATGGTAATTTATTTGCATATTACACTTTGCCTATTGAACCAGCCTGTAGAATGACAGTGTAGACCGCTCACTATGATACTCCTGGAAAGAGCCTGTAGAGAGTCAGTGAGATCCATACACTATGGATCTTCAGAAACAACCCTGTAAAATGTCAATGGGATCCACCCACTATGGTCCTCATAGGATGAGACTGTAGATTGTCACTGGAGATTGCTTACTATGAATCTCCTAGAACAAACCTGTAGAATATCAGAAGCTACCACTCACTTTGGATATCCAGAAACCACCCTGTAGAATGTCAGTGGACATTGTTCAAGATGTATCTTCTGAAACAAGCCTACAGATTTTCAGCAGAGACCACTCATTATAAATCTTCAGGAACAAAACTTGTAGACTGTCAAGGAGACCACTCACTATAGATCTCCTGGAATAAGCCTGTAAAACGTGGTATAAACATGCAGCATGTCAGTGAAGACCACTGACCAAGGTTTTCCAGGAACAAGCCCGTAGAACAGCTTTTCACAACCTTTTCAATATAGAACTCTTGAAATATCTTTTCAGTCTCAGGGAACTCCTGCTATAAATTATTATATCTATATAAGAATATACATATTATATATAGGAAGAACTGCCCTCTTACACATAGCTAAAAAGGATCAGTGATGTTGATGGAAACTGAGAGGCAGAAATTGCTCCTTGCTCAAGGAATCCCTAGCAAGCTCTGGAGAAACCCTAGGGTTCCATTGATCCCTGCCTGAGAAACCCTGCTGTAGAATGTCAGTGGTTATAATTATTTCAGAATGTTAACAGGAAAAATATTTTGGCCTACACCTGACTACCTACATTTTACCATTAATAAGCTATATGCCAGTCACACAGTAGGCAGTTTGGTGGTCTTTCAATCAACCACAATGCCAAACAGAACGTAAAGATCAGCGCTTAGTGTCAAGAAAAAAAGCAGTTAGCACAAAAGGTCAATGCACAAAACCTTAACAATGCATAAATGCATAATCCAATCAGCCATATCCATATAAATGACCCAATATACATCTAAAAATACCGTTCTATCCAAATGGAGGCTATGTTCATGTCTTGAGGAATACATATAATGTGGTTATGCTGCCTGTAATTTAAGCAGCCATACCTTCTGGTGAGTGCAAGGTGCTTGGTGGCGGTCCACACAGTGGAATAGCAGGTCACTGGTTCAGAATCCACTTGGATGCATGGGATAATGAATACATATGAACTTTTATTTTGATTAACACACACTTTGGTCGAAAAATTTTTTTATTTTAGCTGGTTCACACATGGATTCATATTTTGAAGATTTGTTGTTCTATTTATGACATTTAAAAAGGGACAGTCATCACAATTTTACAGTGACTTTTTTTTAATTAGAGGGATAGTGATTATACTTTTAAAGTTCATATTGCACATGTTGAATATTTATTTTTAGATGTATATTTGGCTATTTTTATGGACCTATGATTGTTCACATTTAATGTGATTTTTCACTTGTTAATTCATTCACTGTGTTAGAGAGCTGCACTAACACATTTGTGTTACTTATCTAAAATACGTAAGCATTTGTGGTGAGAAAAAAAATTAACACTTTAAATGATATGGCCAGGATAAATTAAACCCCATTAAACCAGCTTTCATCATTGCCAAAAAACAGTGAGGGGTAATTTGTTGCATTCGTCTAAAACCTTTCCTGCGGCTCCGTTGACAGGCAAAGCGGCAATCTTTTATCATTGCCGGGCGCCCGCTGGCTTTTCATCATTGGCGGGGCAGGTGACGAACTATCTCCTCTCACAGTCCGCCCTGAAGACCAGAACGGCGCGGGAACCCAGCGAGAGGAACGCGCGGAGCAAAGGTAAGTGAATTCAGTGAGGGGGGATGAATTACTATAGGGGGGATGCATTCGGGGGATGAATTACTACAGGGGGGATGAATTACTACATGAGGGATGAATTACTATGGGGGATGAATTACTATAGGGGGGATGAATTACTATAGGGGGGAAATTACTATATGGGGGGATGAATTACTATATGGGGGATGAATTACTATAGGGTTGAATTACTATAGGGGGGATGAATTACTATATGGGGGATGAATTACTATAGGGGGGATGAATTACTATGGGGGATGAATTACTACGGGGGATGATTACTATATGGATGAATTACTAGGGGGATGAATTTGCTATAGGGGGGATGAATTACTTTTCCTATGGGGGATGAATTACTTATGGGGGATGAATTACTATAATGGGGGAAATTACTAGGGGGATGTATTTTGCTCTCAAAATAAAATTTCAATCGTGGTTTTGGCGATTTGGCTGAAAAAAAAAGGTTGCCCACCACTCACAAGTAGTTATAACGCACTATTAACCCTTTGCTTACTGGGCCCTTAGGGCCTTTTTTTAAATGTTGCAAAAAAGTATTTGTCACTTTGGGAAAGGATCAGAGGGCCTTTTTAAAAATATTTGTCACTTTGGGCAGAGGAAAATAAAGACAGCCTGTAAAGATTTGGTTGTCCTGGGCACAGCCTTTCATGAAGCAGCATACTGTTTGCTTTATATGCAAAAACCATCAACTGTATCACCCCCCCCCCCCCCCAAACAAAGCAAAGGGTAGGTTGCTGCATGTGTCCTCAACTATAGAGATCCTAGTTACCTCTCCTCAATAACCCCTACAGTGCCTAATGGTAAATCTGGAAATCTGGCCCTTTAGGAAGCAAGGAGGAAGACCTAAATAGAAACCATACCACCCAAAGCTTTGAGGTCAACATAATCAGATTTTATCCCACCATTTTGCTGCAGGACCACCCAAAGTAGGGCCTCTCCATATGGCTCATGCCACAAAGCTTAAGTGCCTTTAAGTTGATGGCCTATCCAGTATAAATGTTCATAAAATCCAGACTAGATTTTATTGATGTCAATGGCCCCGGTGGTGAGAATCACCCCCAGCACCATTCCAGCTTAATCAGCCATGGCTTGCCTTTAACCATATATTCTGATAGATTGACCAATAGGTATCCAGTGACACCATGATGGTGAAGTCATTAGGCGTTGAAACCTAGCTCCAGCCAGGGGAACAAAAAACAAAAAAAAAAAAAACAAAAAGCAAAATACTGTGATGAATACTGCTTACCACCCAAAACCTGAGGTCAATATAGTCCGATTTTAGCCCACCCTTTTGCGGCGGAAGCACCCAAAGCAGGGCCTTCTCATACAGCTCGTGCTCAAAAGCTTTAAGTTGAACTGCATTTAAGTTAATGGCTTATCCAGTGTAAATTTTCATAAACTCCAGAGTAGATTTTATTGATATCAATAGCTCTGATGATGAGAATTATCCCCCGCACCATTTTGGTCAGGGGAAACTAAAGAAACATACTGCGTGGAGTACTGCTTTAAAGAGACCCTGTTTCTATCCCATTTCCAGATGAAAATACAATAAAAAGTGATGACATACCTATAAGGCAAGCTGGCTAAATAGACTTCCAGCATGGTAAAGGAGAAAAACTGAAAAAGAAAGCATGCTTTGCTAATGGGTATGCAAGTACTGTTCCTCAGCACGTTTATCTAGTTAGGCACAAGATGGTGAAAACAAGATTATGTCTAGAGAAACTAATCTGCCGAACCGTTGGTGTCCCCAAAAGGTAGAAGTAGAAAGAATAATCAATAACAAATAGCTTTTATTGGTCTGACTACCTTAAATTGCTCAGAGCTAATATCTGACTTGCATTTCAGGGTGGCAGTGCATTATTTATCTTTGCCACAAAATAGAATAAAGAAAGCAAACCAAGTTTAAAGAGTTACTCCTGTCTGAATCAAAAGTGGTAGCCTACTGGAAAAAGTGCCTGAGCTGAAGGTTACAAATCAGTTCTCAACAAGCATGCAATAAGTCTTGTATGGATAGGGCAGTGGCCATCGTTGGGCCAAGCTACATTCTTGTGTAGAATGACTGATTTCAGCCAGAAGTACACAAAAGCAGGATGTTATCAGAGACAGGTTTCATTTTTTGTCATATGCCTAGACCTTTCCTTCACAACAGTGAATCCAAACAGATTTTTTGTCAAGTATCATACGATTTGTCATGGTTTGTATGTTTCTTTCTACATGCTTAATAAAATATTTGGTAAAAGAAAAAAGCAAATCAAAAATATTTTTATAATTTTGCAGCCAAAATGAGATGGAAAACAATAAGCTTCAGGTATGGTACATTCCCAAGTTAAGTACAGCACAAGATCTTAGAG